GGTTAAAGGGATATTCTGACGTAAAATTACTTTAGAGTCAAACCCACCGTAACACCGAGTTAGACCCCGCCCCCCTCCAGAGATGAATGTTGTCGACCGCTTGCTTCTCTAGTTATACCAACTTTAGTAACGACCACAGGATATAAATACAGAGAGCCACGCCCCCAACCAAAACGCCACTCTATAGCCACAAATAATGCTCAGAACAGCAGCTAACTTCATCAACAGGACATATAGGGTCACAGTCATAGTACTAGACACCAAACATCTTTTTAACTTTGACTCATTTCTTTAACAAAGAGACTAAACACAACTCACCTACTCTCTTCCAGCAGACGCTTGTTTGTAGAGAGACCTCAGGTCAGTCCATTACAGACTACAGCGGGGTGCCGCAGCTCAAGGAAGAACATTTATGATCATTTCTTCATGGAAATACAATCAGACCGAGACGCTAAGACAGAAGAACTACCGCGTCTGTAAAATTATTAATATGATGATTATTACTTCAAGGAAATGATGAAGAAATGATTTTAGAAAGTTTTAAGAGCCTATTTAAAAACTAAAATGAGTTATAAAGGTTTTAAAATTCATATTTAAACACTTAAAAGTTTAAATGAGTTTTAAGAGCCTATTTAAAAACTACAAAAGGTTATGTTCAAAAATGTTCTTCCTTGAGCTGTGACCCCCCGCTGTAGTCCATAATCCAAAGTCCATCTCTCCCCTTCTCTCTCTCTCTCCCTCTCTCTTTCTCTCTCTCCCCTTCTCCTCCCCCCTCCTCTCCCTCTCCCCTTCTCCTCCCCCCTCCTCTCTCTCCCCTTCTCCTCCCCCCTCCTCTCTCTCCCCCCTCCTCTCTCTCTCCCCTTCTCTCCCTCTCCCCGTCTCTCTCTCCCTCTCCCCTTCTCCTCCCCCCTCCTCTCTCTCCCCTTCTCCTCCCCCCCCCTCTCTCTCCCCCTCTCTCTCTCTCCCTCTCCCCCTCTCCCCTTCTCTCCCCCTCTCTCTCTCCCTCTCCCCCTCTCTCTCTCCCCTTCTCCTCCCCCTCCTCTCTCTCCCTCTCTCCCCTTCTCCTCCCCCTCCTCTCTCTCCCTCTCCCCCTCTCTCTCTCCCTCTCTCTCTCTCCCCTTCTCCTCCCCCTCCTCTCTCTCTCCCCTTCTCCTCCCCCTCCTCTCTCTCCCCCTCTCTCTCTCTCTCCCCCACTCTCTCTCTCCCCTTCTCTCTCTCTCCCTCCCTCTCCCCTTCTCTCTCCCCCTCTCTCTCCCCCTCTCTGGTATAATCACTGATGATGATTTCATTGACATAAGAAGTTGATTTGTCAGTTAATTTGGTCGTTTCCTCACCTGTCTCCTGGTCCCTTTGTCTCCCCCTCTCTCCCTCCCTCTCTCCCCCTCTCTCTCCCCCTCTCTCCTTCTCCCTCTCCCCTTCTCTCTCCCTCTCTCTTCTCTCTCCCTCCCTCTCTCTCTCTCTCCCTCTCCCCCCTCCCCCTCTCTCTCTCTCCCTCCCCCTCTCCCCCTCTCTCCCCCTCTCTCTCCCCCTCTCTGGTATAATCACTGATGATGATTTCATTGACATAAGAAGTTGATTTGTCAGTTAATTTGGTCGTTTCCTCACCTGTCTCCTGGTCCCTTTGTCTCCCCCTCTCTCCCTCCCTCTCTCCCCCTCCCTCTCTCTCTCTCCCTCCCTCCCTCTCTCTCTCCCCCTCTCTCTCCGCTGTAATTGCTCCTACTCTTCTTAACAGTCGTCACAATGCCGTACTGTAATCAAAGCTCTGACAAAGCCCTCTTTCATTTCTCTGTCTGCCTCTGCGTTCGCCATAATAAGCTTCCATCTCGCTCACATGTCGAGAAGCCCGGGACCCCGGCGCCGTAATTTCGCCTTGAATGAGATGCAGGTGATCAAAGTGTGCGTAGTCTTTTTGATTCTGGAGAATAGCCGGCCCTCCCTCTGCTGAACATCTTAAGATTCCTGAGAAATAAAAGCAGAAAATAAAAAAACCCAACGCCCTTCCTGCATTCCTCCTGGAGACGCTCCCGCCGCCGCCGCCGCCGCACAACAGCCGACCACGAAGACAGGAAGACGCTCCCGCCACCGCCGCACAACAGCCGACCACGAAGACAGGAAGACGCTCCCGCCGCCGCACTTTGGAGGAACTTTGGAGGGAAGTAGAGGACGAGCAGCTTCAGGAGGAACTGAACTGACAGATATTTACTGTCTTCATTCTGATCAGAACCACGAAGAACCTTTAGGTTCTACTGAGTCACGGTCAGAACCTCCAACGACGGCGTTTGTGGAGACGTCCACGGCGGCGTTTGTGGAGACGTCCACGGCGGCGTTTGTGGAGACATCCACAGCGGCGGCGTTAGTGGAGACGTCCACGGCGGCGTTAGTGGAGACGTCCACAGCGGCGGCGTTAGTGGAGACGTCCACGGCGGCGTTTGTGGAGACGTCATCAGCGGCGTTAGTGGAGACGTCCACAGCGGCGGCTTTAGTGGAGACGTCCACAGCGGCGGCTTTAGTGGAGACGTCCACGGCGGCGTTTGTGGAGACGTCATCAGCGGCGTTAGTGGAGACGTCCACAGCGGCGTTAGTGGAGACGTCCACGGTGGCGTTAGTGGAGACGTCCACGGTGGTGTTTGTGGAGACGTCCACGGCGGTGTTTGTGGAGACGTCCACGGCGGCGTTTGTGGAGACGTCCACGGCGGCGTTTGTGGAGACGTCCACGGCGGTGTTTGTGGAGACGTCCACGGCGGCGTTTGTGGAGACGTCCACGGCGGCGTTTGTGGAGACGTCCACGGCGGCGTTTGTGAAGACGTCCACGGCGGCGGCGGCGCTCAGTCCCAGAGGAAGTGTCACGTTAATAAGATCTTACAGGAGGAAAAATGATGATTTTCTTTAATCGCTAACCTGCCTCTAGCGGCGCCGCCGCATCATCCCGCACCTTCATCCCTTATAAAAATATCTATCACACAGGACGCCGCAGCAGCGGAGGCGATGAAAAGCAGCAGCAGCGGCGGTGGCGGTGGCGATGATGGGAGCAGAATGGCGATGGCCTCATTACTCGCCGGCGCACACTGTAACAGGAAAATTGCTTCTTTGAGGTTTTGTTTGCTCAGCCAATTACAATAAAGTCCCGACTCGACTCGACGTTTGCTCAGATGTACGACATTAATAAACATGAGGCTGGATTATTGAACCGCTCGCCACGACGCTGACAACCAACGCCACCGCCGCTGACGGACGGACGGATGGAGGGGGGAGAGAGGAGAGGAGATCCCACCTCCACCTCCCAGTCAGACTTAACACCTGAGAACTCCTCTAAATGACTGTAGGAGCAGGTGGGTCTAGACTCCGCCCACCGCCACGACACCGACCAGAGAGGAAGAGAGAAGTGATGAAGGGAGGAGCAAATGGGGGGGAGGTGAAGAAGGGGAGGAGGGGGAGGAGGGAGGACTCTTCCCTTCAGCTCTGATACAGTGTGTGTGTGTGTGCGTGCGTGCACTAACCCTATAGTGGAGCTGAAACGAGCTCCTATTGGCTGATTGAACATCAGCTGACTGACCTTTTCATCAAGTGTCAGAATCGTGTCCATGTGACGGCGAGATCACGGAAAGAGTGGCGGTCTGATTCGTCCCCGCTCCCTGGACGGCGTTTTTCAGTCACAGATGGTTAGAAGGAACCCGGGGATCGTTCTGCCGCCGTTTCACCTTAGCTAGAGGCCCCGTGAGGACGCTCCACGCCGTCTGATGTCTCCACTTAGGACAGAGCGCCGGGTCATGGCGAAGGCGGCGTCACATCAGAGGCCGAGGTCTGAAACACGTCTTTGTGTTTCTTCGTTTTTTTGTTCACGCCGTTGTCTGTTTATGGCGGTGTGTGTTTATGGCGTTGTGCGTTTATGGCGGTGTGTGTTTATGGCGGTGTGTGTTGGTGTCAGCGGCGGTCTCTGGGGCGTGCGTGTTAACCGTCCTCTGGGTGCGTTCACAGCGAGCGGCTCACGCGCTCAGTGACAAAGTGTTGAGGTTGCATCTCTGTCGGGCGGCAGCGGCGGCGGCGGGATTAGAAAACCCCTCTGATGATTGATAGATTTATTTGTCATCGCTGTCTGGACGGCGGCGGTTTACAGCACGCCAAAGCGGGGTCCATTAATCAGTGTAAATAACACTCTGCTTATACACACATCAGGAGTCGGCGTGCAGAGACATCTGACATGGGGGGGGGGCGGCGGCGAAGCAGATTTGCAGCAGAGTAAGCGTGTGAGCGGATGATCAGAAAAGTGGCGTGTAGAGGTTGGCGAGGAGTGGCTTTGAGTGCTGACGCTCCCAGAGAGGAAATTGGCGTTTGAGCTGCAGGCTGTGGCGTTGAGGACGGTTGGGCGGGATCTGATTAATGGACGGTTGTACATCCTGCTGTCCAGGACGCCGTCTCGCTCCCTGATGGTTCATCATTCAGGCGGCGGCGCCGAAAAAACACGACAGAAACAGTCGACCGATGGGGGGGGGGCGACCACAAAGTTTGTCTCCGCCCCCTTAACCATTATTAGCTGTCCTTTAATAAGTTCGTCTACAGCTGATCGTGTTTAATGCGCCGCCAAACGACGGTCAAACATGTCCGCCGCCGCCGGACGCCTTTAATCTCCCGCCATTATTGTCCAAAGGAGACGTCTGATTGGACGGTTCTCCTCGACGAATCAAAGAACAACATCAAACATGACAACGGAGGAGGAGAGAGGAGGAGGGGGAGAGGAGGAGGAGGGAGGAGAGAGAGGAGGAGAGGGGAGAGGAGGAGGAGAGAGGAGGAGGAGGAGCGAGGAGAGAGAGGAGGCGGAGAGGAGAGGAGGAGAGAAGAGGAGAGGAGGAGGAGGAGAGGAGAGGAGGAGAGAGGGGAGGAGGAGAGGAAGAGGAGGAGAGAAGGAGAGGAGAGGAGAGGAGGAGAGGAAGAGGAGGAGAGAGGAGGAGGTGGAGAAGGAAGGAGGGAGAGAGGAAAGGAGGAGGAGGAGGAGAACATGGAGAGGAGAGGAGGAGGAGCCGCCTCCTCTTTCGCCGCCTCCTCCTCCTCCTCCTCCTCCTCCTCCTCCTTCGCCGCCTCCTCCTCCTTCACCACCGCCATCATTCGCAGAAATCTGGAGGTCAAATTTCTGACCGTCATGGCGGCTCTTCGTCTGACTCCGTGTTTCTGAACTTTCTCTGATTCTTCTCCACAATCATAAAATGGAGTCAGCTGTAAAACTCGCCGTCTGCTCCTCGCTGCTCCTCGCCGCTCTGATTTTCCACAGAGGAAAAAAGGAGCGACTTAAAATAAAGCGATGACAACTCTCCCGCCGCCGCCTCCTGCGTTTGTCATTTGTTAACGCACTTGACCTCCTAATCAGACTGCCGGAGAAACACGGCGGCGAACAAGTTCTGTCATGTTATCAATTTATCCGACACGACAAAGTAATAACAGCAATAAATGAACGTGTACTTTGGGAACGGCGGCGGCGGCGTAAATTGAAACACCCGAGTGTGAGACGTGCCGCTCGCCAAAAAAAGACGGAGAAATGAAGATGATGGAAAATCTGATATGAAGGAAGACGACAGTTTATTCTGCAGCTCGCCGCCGCCGTTTCCATTCGGAGTACTCCACGTGTCTGCCTCAGCGTCCCCAGGGCTGCAGAGCGCCGCCGCATCAGCGCTCAAGTACAGTCAGCGTCTTTACCACGAGAGCGGCGCCGTGAACCCAGCAAATAAACGGCTCTCCTCACTGGTCTGCTCAGTAAAGGTCGGGTCACTTCCTTCGCTCGCGGCGTTCTGAGGATTTCAGTTTGAGAGTCAAAATCAATCAGCACAGGAAGTTCTGATCTGAGCTGGACCGCCATCCATATTTCACGCCCCTGACCTCCTCTGAGGTCACTCTCGTCCACCAACGCTCCGGGCCGTTCACCTGCACGCACTGGGGGCCGTCCCAAACACGCTCAGTCACTGAACACCTGCAGGTCCACATGGTTAACATCAGCAACCGCCACGGAGACGCTGGAAAACATCAGGACCTCTGCGGCGCTCCAACACGCCACCCAACACGGGGAGTCCTCCTGAACGCCACCGAACACGGGGAGTCCTCCTGAACGCCACCGAACACGGGGAGTCCTCCTGAACGCCACCAAACACGGGGAGTCCTCCTGAACGCCACCGAACACGGGGAGTCCTCCTGAACGCCACCGAACACGGGGAGTCCTCCTGAACGCCACTGAACACGGGGAGTCCTCCTGAACGCCACCAAACACGGAGAATCATTTAATCTGTAACTAATAAGTCTTTGAGTCTGAATCTTTAAGACTGAGTCAGTGAGTCAGTGAGTCTTTGAATCAGTGAGTCAGTGAGTCTTTGAGTCAGTGAGTCAGTGAGTGAGTCTTTGAATCAGTGAGTCTTTGAGTCAGTGAGTCTTTGAGTCAGTGAGTCTTTGAGTCAGTGAGTCAGTGAGTCAGTGAGTGTTTGAATCAGTGAGTCAGTGAGTCAGTGAGTCTCTGAGTCTGTGAATCAGTGAGTCAGTGAGTCTTTGAGTCAGTGAGTCTTTGAGTCAGTGAGTCAGTGAGTCATTGAGTCAGTGAGTCAGTGAGTCTTTGAGTCTTTGAGTCAGTGAGTCAGTGAGACTCTGAGTCTTTGAATCAGTGAGTCATTGAGTCAGTGAGTCAGTGAGTCAGTGCAGAGGAGTACGAACAGACTGAGTCAGATCCAAATTCTCGGTCTGAGGTTTGGAGCAGATTTCTGTTGCTCGTTGGGGGAGGAGTCAGTTTGGGCGCCAACATGAACACTCGTTCACGTTTCCACGTTCGTGTTCGCACGAATCAAAACATCGATTCACTGAATTCACTCATGTCTGTGTCAGTGTGTGTGTGTGTGTGTGTGTGTGTGTGTGTGTGTGTGTGCCTGAGTGTGTGAGTCAGTGTGTGTGTGTGTGTGTGTGAGTCAGTGTGTCTGAGTGTGTCTGAGTGTGTGTGTGAGTCAGTGTGTGTGTGTGTGTGTGTGTGTGTGTGTGTGTGTGTGTGAGTCAGTGTGTGTGTGTGTGTGTGTGTGTGTGTGTGTGTGTGCGTTCACGGATAAAGACTCTGGCGTTCTCTCTAATCCGTCCTTTCAGCGGCGGCGGCGGGCTGTGGCGGCAGAATGAACCGGGTACAATGACCCCCCACTGCCCTCGACTCACGCCATCTCTGACGGCCTTACAAAACAACCCTCACCTCCGCCTAACCCCTCCCACCTCTGGGCGCCAAACCCCTCCCAACAAAGACGCTGTCATACCCCGCTCTACGCACACATTCACAGAAACAAAGCCCCGCCCCTTCCCTGCAGTTGGCGCCCTGAGGGTTCCCCGCTAAGAGCAGGGACACGGACACAAAGTGGTCATTTACACCGCCAGGACGGACTCTCATCCTGCCAGCCACCGCCGCTGGACCGTGTGAGGCGGGCGCACGGCGAGGGGTTAATGATGAGAGAGGGGTTAACTAAACACGAGACAAAAATCAGCATCAGGGGGTTAACCACGGGGGCGGAGCTAAAAACAAAAAACAAACATCACTACAGCAGTACTTGTACTGTAGGCGTGTAAACGGCGTTCTGTCACATGGTCAGCGCTCAGCACATCCAGTCGTTGGAAACCATCATGGTCTCTGGGACGGCGAGACCGTGGCGGCGACGCTTTCGCTGACACGTGCTCGTCTCGCCTCGAACATGATCAAATTACGCCACAGATTTAGCGTCCTTGCAGAAATGTCAGAATCGTCGCCCTCCCAGGGCGGCGTGCGGCGGTGAGTGACGGGTGGCGGTCCCGGCTCTGACTCGGTGAACTCTGCTGGTTTGGGGAACGGAGCGATAATTCGTTAAGACGGGACCGCCTCCTGAATTATTAAACGAGTTTAAATAATTCACTGATGACCAAACAGCTGACAGCACGCCATTCATCAGCGTGTGGCGGCGGCACTGATATATACCGCCATTTTAGAGGGGGTGAGAGAGTGTGGGGGGGGCGGGGTTTACAAAAACAGACTTTCTAATGTTTCTGAACCTTCACGACCACAACGGAGGCGTGAGGAGGAGGAGGCGGAGCTCTCTGAGCGAGGGTTCAGACTGCGGCGCTTCATCATAACCTGCTTTAAATTTGTATTCCTGGAAATCCGGCGCACGCCTTTTTGTCTCCTCAACGGCGAGGAAAACGGCGAGGCAGGCGGCGAGGTGACAAATGACCATAAACAGGCGGAGAGTATGCAAATGAGGCGAGGAGACAAATGTCCAACCTTGTGTTTAAACGGAGGCGAAGGTCATCCACCTCGCCATCGATCACCACGGTAACACGCCAAATGGGGGGGGGGGGGGAGAGGAGAGAAGAGGAGAAGAGGAGGAGGAGAGACAAGAAGAGGAGGAGGGGAGGAGGAGAGGAGAGAAGGAGAGGAGAGGAGAGAGAGGAGGAGGAGAGACAAGAAGAGGAGGAGGGGAGGAGAGACAAGAAGAGGAGGAGGGGAGGAGGAAAGGAGAGAAGGAGAGGAGAGAGAGGAGGAGGAGAGACAAGAAGAGGAGGAGGGGAGGAGGAGAGGAGAGAAGGAGAGGAGAGGAGAGAGAGGAGGAGGAGAGACAAGAAGAGGAGGAGGGGAGGAGGTGGAGAGGAGTTTTTTTTAATCTTCATCGGTAACTTCTGCTGTGACTAACTCTTTTTTTCATTCTTGTCCACTTTGGGCCTCCGTAGAACCTCAGAGAACGAGCCGAGTCAGCAGGATTTAAACGGCGTCAATCTTGGCGAGAAGTTTGAACTAAAGTCTGAGTTTAAATGCAACACCTTCATTCATGCTAACATGAACAGAGAGAGAGTGTGTGTGTGTGTGTGTGTGTGTGTGTGTGTGTAAGAGTGTGAGTGTGTGTGTGTGTGTGTGTGTGTGTGTGTGTGTGTGTGTGTGTGTGTGTGTGTGTGTGAATGGGGGGGTTGGGGGTCTATTTTGGCGGCGGTAATCCATCCTTTGTGCCGAACTTCTTCATCTGTATCAATTCATGGAAAAAAACACGCCGACCCCGCAGAGTGAAACTGAGCCGGGGGGGGAGGGGGTGAGGACCTGGGTTGGGGGGGTACGTGGGGGGGTGGGGCGGAGAAAGGGGGCAGTGGACCATGGGAAAAACACAATCCCTGAACTCTCTATAGCACTTGTTCCACGCCACTTCACCCACACACCCACTCTGTGGGCCACTCGCCGCTGACCCCTGCGACCCCTCTGCTCCCTCACCCTGCCTCTCAGACTCCCCCCCCCCCCCTCTCTTTGCAGATGCATGTCACCCCCCCCACCCTGGACCTCCAGACCTGCTGGTTCTGAGCCCCCCTTCCTCTGCCTCTCCTGCCCAGGGATGGTGCACCGTGGTGGGGCAGAGGCTGCGGCCGAGCCCCCTGGATGTTCTGGAGGAGTAAAGGACAGAATAACAGAGGGGATGGGGGGGGGCGTTAGAGCGCACGCACACACACACACACACACACACACACACACACACACACGTTGTTGCTGCTGCTGCGTGCGGCCTCAGTAATTGGCGTTTGGCGTCCTGGGCGCGCCGCAGTGACAGTGTAAGCGTTCATTAAAACATACGACTCCAATACGGATGAAATTAATCATTAGCGCGCGCCATTAGCCCGTCTCCTTCCCATAATTGAATTTGTCAGCGGTATCCTTTTCAAGACACGCCGCCGCCGCGCGATGAAGGCGATCAGTAACAGCAGAAAAAAGAGGATCTGTCCGTTAATTAGCCCCGCCTCCTGTAACTGTCAATCACTGCAGCTGATGATGAACCCGAGTCACATGATTGATAATTAATTAGCATCAATCAGAGGCGGGGACAGCAGGAGGGGGCGGAGCCTGAAGTCTAAGGAACTCTAAAGTCATGACTCAGCAGAATCGGCGCTTTACTCAACCGAGGAGGGAGAGAGAGAGAGAGAGAGAGGAGAGAGAGAGAGAGAGAGGAGGGGGGAGACAGAGGAGGGAGGCAGCCAGCAGGGGGAGGTAGGACAAAGGAAAAGAGAGGGTGAGGAGAGAAGGAGAGAGGAAAGGAGAGTAAGGAAGGGAAGAGAAGGAGAGAGGAAAGGAAGAGAGGTTGTCACTGTGAGTCTTTATTTTTTTAGGTGTTCTTGTCCGAGTTTGACCTCCGTCCTTTAGTGGTCATGGTGGAGGGGGGAGAGGAGACGGGTGAGGGAGGAGACGGGTGAGGGAGGAGACGGGTGAGGGAGGGGGGAGAGGTTTTTTTTTCCCGATGTTTTAAAGTTCGGATCGTCGTCTCTCTCTTCAGGTCGTTTCTCTCAGGATGTTTATTTTCCGATGTTTTTTTTTCCCGATGTTTAAAAGTTCGGATCGTCGTCTCTCTCTTCAGGTCGTTTCTCTCAGGATGTTTATTTTCCGATGTTTTTTTCCGATGTTTTAAAGTTCGGATCGTCGTCTCTCTCTTCAGGTCGTTTCCTTCCTGACAGTCAAAACGCTCTTTCTGATTTTATTTGGCGCCGTAAACGTTTGTGAATAAAACGCTGAAGAAGGTTTCTTGCTCTGACAGACGGAGCTTCCTGTCTTCAGTCTCTGGTTTCTGACAGCAGTCGGGGACACGATGGCGGTGGCGGCGGCGTGGGTTCACCTCTAAGTGTTGGCTGGTATAAATAATCTATGGCGCTCTGTTTCAGCCTTTGACTCCTTCAGCAGCTCTGAACTCTCAGTTTTTAAGAGTCTCAGTCAAAGAGTCGACGTGACGACGGCTCAGCTCGGGATTTACAGAAAAGAAAAAGAAGAAGAAGAGCGAGGAACGGTTTAGCGTGAGGAAAAATCGTCGTTTTCTTCGTCTGTTGGTGGAGAATCTTTTCTGACATGTTTGTTCCTTTTAAATAAAACTGAAGGTTTTTATCCTGTTAAAGAGTCAAAAAAACTCTGTCTGACTCTGAGGGAACTCTGTACGCCGCTGAAGAACAACAGTCAGGATAAACCAGGGACAGACTCAGACTGGGAACACTGGGAAGGTCTTGGTCCTCCTCCTTTACAGAACCGGAGCCCAAACAAAGTTAGCGTGCTAAAATATCGGACAGTAGAAACCAACCAGGAAGTTCGGAAAATTGTCTTCCTTCAGAACGAGGCCTTCGAAACAACAAACCTTCAGAAACAAGTCTTTACAAACGAGTCTTTATAAACGAGTCTTTATATTCGAGTCTTTACAAACGAGTCTTTATAAACGAGTCTTTATATTCGAGTCTTTATAAACGAGTCTCCATAAACGAGTCTTTATAAACGAGTCTTTACAAATGAGTCTTTATAAACGAGTCTTTATAAACGAGTCTTTATAAACAAGTCTTTATTAACGAGTCTTTATCCTGAGTCTTTATAATCAAGTCTTTATAAACGAGTCTTTATATTCGAGTCTTTATAAACAAGTCTTTATTAACGAGTCTTTATCATCGAGTCTTTATAAACGAGTCTTTACAAACGAGTCTTAGAAACGAGTCTTTATAAACGAGTCTTTAAAAACGAGTCTTTATATTCGAGTCTTTATAAACGAGTCTCCATAAACGAGTCTTTATAAACGAGTCTTTACAAACAAGTCTTTATAAACGAGTCTTTCTAAACAAGTCTTTATAAACGAGTCTTTATGAACGAGTCTTTATAAACAAGTCTTTTTAAACGAGTCTACATTAACGAGTCATTTTAAACGAGTCTTTATGGGCGAGTGTATATAAACAAGTCTTTATATTCGAGTCTTTATATTCGAGTCTTTATAAACGAGTCTTTATAAACGAGTCTTTATAAACAAGTCTACATTAACGAGTCTTTTTAAACAAGTCTTTATAAACGAGTTTCCATAAACGAGTCTTTATAAACAAGTCTTTATGAACAAGTCTTTATAAACGAGTGTATATAAACAAGTCTTTATATTCAAGTCTTTATTAACGAGTCTTTATAAACAAGTCTTTTTAAACGAGTCTACATTAACGAGTCATTTTAAACGAGTCTTTATAAACGAGTCTCCATAAACAAGTCTTTATAAACAAGTCTTTATGAACGAGTCTTTATAAACAAGTCTTTACAAACGAGTCTTTATAAACGAGTCTTTACAAACGAGTCTTTATAAATGAGTCTTTATAAACAAGTCTTTATGAACGAGTCTATAAACGAGTGTATATAAACAAGTCTTTATAAACGAGTCTACATTAACGAGTCATTTTAAACGAGTCTTTATAAACGAGTCTGTATAAACGAGTCTCCATAAACGAGTCTTTATAAACGAGTCTTTATCATCGAGTCTTTATTAACGAGTCTTTATGAACGAGTCTCCATAAACGAGTCTTTATAAACAAGTCTCCATAAACGAGTCTTTATAAACGAGTCTCCATAAAGAAGTCTTTATAAACAAGTCTTTATTAACGAGTCTTTATCCTGAGTCTTTATAAACGAGTCTTTATCCTGAGTCTTTATCCTGAGTCTTTATAAACAAGTCTTTATAAACGAGTCGTTATAAACAAGTCTCCATAAACGAGTC